GTGTGTGTTGTGCTTCTTTTGTGTTACTGTAGTTTTTTTCTGAACCAGATGCCAAACTCTTAACAACTCCTGGTTGAAAGCAGTGGTTATAGTAATATTTCTAATAAGAAAAACCATACTAAGTAACATATTTTGAGGTCTCAGAGTATGCCAGATGCTGCTATAAGAGCTAAAATGTACTAACTTATTTAATCTTCACAATAACCCTAAGACATAGGTTTTTACTGTTGTCCCATTTCAGATTAGGAATTACATACCCAAGGGGCGCCTGGGTGGCGCAGTCGGTTAAGCGTCCGACTTCAGCCAGGTCACGATCTCGCGGTCTGTGGGTTCGAGCCCCGCGTCAGGCTCTGGGCTGATGGCTCAGAGCCTGGAGCCTGTTTCCCATTCTGTGTCTCCCTCTCTCTCTGCCCCTCCCCCGTTCATGCTCTGTCTCTCTCTATCCCAAAAATAAATAAACGTTGGAAAAAAAAAAAAAGGAATTACATACCCAAAAATACACATATTTTCTGAATCATTTGGATATAATCTTCAGACTTCATGACACATCAGCATTGTATCTTCTTAGAGCTAGGACAGTCTATATAACCAGAATACCATGATTAGAATCAAGAAATTTAACGCTCACACAATAATATTATCTAATATATAGTGCAAATTAAGAATTCCACTGTTGTCCCCCAAATATTTTTATAGCTGTTCCCCGCACCCCCCCCACACACTGTATGATCCAGTCAAAAATCACACATTTTATTTGGTTGTCCTGATTCTTTAATATCCATTAATAATCATAAAAAATAATTTTTTGCCTTTTTAGTTGTTTATATTACTGGTATTTTTTTTCCAATTAGAAAATCATTTGATTCACCAGTTGAATTTTTGAAAGTTTATCCTAAGTAATTGAGAAGGAGACAAAGATTTGTGTACAAAAATATTGATTATGAAATTATTTAAATAACAAAACTTGAAAATGACTATAGTTAAACAGTAAATGATCATAAGATTGAATATTATGCATTTATTTAAAATTATGCTTTGAATAATAAAAAGGACATTTTAATGAAAGTTTAAGTTAAAAAGTATATAAAATTGGGGTGTCTGGATGACTCAGATGGAACAACATGTGACTCTTGATCTCGGAGTTGTGAGTTCAAGTCCCATGTTGGGTGTAGAAGTGACTTGAAAATAAAATCTAAAAAAAAACAGTATATAAAACTTTGTGTGTATGTGTAATTTAAGGCTTCTTGCTATGGATTGAATTGCACATTACCAAAATTCATACATTGAAGCCCTAGCTCCTGTATGACTCTCTTTGGAGATTGGGCCTCTGAGGAGGTGATAAAGGTTAATGAGATCATAAGAATGAGGCCCTAATCTGATAGAGTCTGTACCCTTATAAGAGAAAAGGGCAACAGAGCTCTCTGTGTGAGGACATAAGAAGCTGGCTATCTGCTAGCTGGGAAGAGAACCTTCACTAGGAATCAAATCATCTGGCACCTTGATCTTGGACTTCCCAACCTCCAAAACTGGAATACAAATTTCTGTTAAGTCTACCCATTCTATGGTATTTTGTTATGGCAGCCTGAGCAGGTTAATAGAGATATTGGTTCCTAGAGGTGGGGTGCTGCTGTAAACAAATACCTAAAAATGAAGAAGTGGCTTTGGAACTGGGTGATGGTAAAACCTGGAAGAATTTTCCAGCGCTTACTAGAAAAAGGCAAGATTGCTGTGAAGGGACTGTTGGCAGAAATAAGGATATCGAAGGCCATTCTGGAGTAGTCTCAGATGGAAGTAAGGAACAGTTTATTGGAAACTGGAAGAAAGGCAATCCTGGTTACAAACTGGCAATAAACTTGGCTAAATTGTTGGGTTTGTGAAAGATAAAAATTTGTAAGGGGATTTCTAAGCAAAGTATTGAAGATGTGGCTTGGGTCTTGCTTACTGCCTATAGTAAAATGAGAGAGGAGAGAGTTGAATTGAAGAAGGAATTGTTAAGTAAAAAGGAACCATAATTTAGTTCCTTAGCCAATTTGTATTGTAAAAAATGAGAAAGTTTGTTTTGAAGAGAACAATAAAGAGATCGTGGGTTTGGTCTATGGATTAACCAGCAAACTCAGCAGAATCTAGAAGTAGAAATGGGATATCAGCAGAGACACTGCCAGTTTCAACTAACTGGGACGAAGAAAGAGGGAGGCAGTGAAGACTGTTAGACTTCTTGGATTCTATAGGATCAGACCATGGTGTTGTTTGGCTGTGAACACGTGCTTTTTCTTGAGGAAAGGGAAGAATGACCTGGAAGGTGATTGATTCAGAGATTATCAGGGCTGCCACTCTCAGCACAGGCCCAAAGGGCAATTAATGCTGTTTCCTTGTGTTTCAGAGGGATAGAGCAATGCAGAAAGCCATGGGGCAGGGCTATCCTTTAGAGCTGTGGAGGTGCTGCCACCCCAGTGGGATGTCAAAACAAAGAGAATTATTCTACAGCCTTAAGATCTAATATAATTTGCCTTGCTAGGTTTTGGACTTACTTGGGATCCATTACCTTTTCCATCTTTCCTTTTTCTTTCTTGTAGAATGGGAATCTCTCTCTTATGCATGCCCACCATTGTATTTTGGGAACACAGAACTTGTTTGGTTTCACAGGTTCATAGCTGGAGAGGAGTTTTGTCTCAGGATGAATCATACGTGGAGTCTCATTCGTATCTACTTAGTTGATATTTACGTGATACTTTGGACTTTGGACTTTAGACTTTAGAGTTGGAGTTAAGACTTGTGGGGCTGATGGGATGGAAAAAATGTATTTTGCATGCAATAGAGACATGAATTTGGGGGGGGTCAGAGGTGGAATGCTGTGGGCTGAATTGTGTTCCCCCAGTGTGATTGTATTTGGAGATAGAACATGTGAGAAGATGTTAAATGAAGTCATTGGGGGGCCTTAATCTAATAGGGCTGGTGCCCTTTTAAAAAGAGGAAGAGACACCAGAGCTCTCTCTGCTATGTGAGGACACAGAAAGAAGGTGGCCATTTGCAAGGTAGGAGAGGTCTCACTAGAAATCAAACCCTCCAGAACCTTGATCTTTGACTTTTCAGCCTCCAGAAACTGTGAGAAAATAAGTTTCTACCGTTTTAGCACCTAGTTTATGACATTTTGTTATGGCAGCCCAAGCAGATTAATACATGTATATAAATGTATTTATACAATTAGAGTGAAAATATCTGGAAATAGAAGCACCAGAATATTAATCAAATTTGTTTCTGATATGGGGAATTGACTTTTTTTTTTTATTCTTCTAGTTTTAATGTAAAAGAAATCAATGTGTAGTTCCAAATGAAATCCTAGCAGGGATTATTTTGAAGGATTATTTTGAAGGATTCAAAAACTTAACTATAACACTTATATGGTACTATTTTTCTTCTTCTTCTTTTAATTTAGTATAATTAACACACAGTATTATGTTAGTTTCAGGTATACAGTATAGTGATTCAGCAATCCTTTATATTACTCAGTGCTCATCATGATAAGTGTATTCTTAATGTCCTTTACTTGTTTCACCTCTTTCCCTACCTCCACCCCTCTGGTAACCACCAGTTTGTCCTCTGCATTTAAGAATCCGTTTTTTGTTTGTCTCTTTTTCTTGGTTCATTTTGTTTTTTAAATTCCATATATGAGTAAAATCATATGGCATTTGTCTTTCTCTGACTTATTTCACTCAGCATTATATCCTCTAGATCCATCCATGTTAATGCAAATGGCAAGATTTCATTCCTTTTTATGACTGAGTAATATCCCATTATGTTTGTGTACCACATCTTCTTTATTCATCTATGGGATTATGACTTTAAAAAATTTTTTTTAATGTTTATTTTTGAGAAAGAGAGAGGGAGGGAGGCAAGGTGGGGCAGAGAGAGAGGGAGA